ACAAGCCTCCTGTAGGCTGTGCCGTCCCAGTAGATTGCGTGGTCGATTGACCAAACAAACTTCCGGTAGGTTGCGTCGTCGATTGACCAAACAAACTTCCGGTAGGCTGCGTCGTCGATTGACCAAACAAACTTCCGGTAGGCTGCGCCGTCGATTGACCAAACAAGCTACCAGTAGGTTGCGTCGTCCCAGTAGGCTGCGTGGTCGATTGACCAAACAAACTTCCAGTAGGCTGCGCCGTCGACTGACCAAACAGGCTGGCAGTAGGTTGCGCCGTCCCAGGAGGTTGCGTCGTCGATTGACCGAATAAACTCCCAGAGGCAAACGCCATAACTTGTGGTCTGGAACGAGGATGTCTGTCACACAATTTGGTCGTCACATCAAGCACGTGGATCTGCAGTCACGTTCCAGCAAATTGAAATTGAAATTGCATTGAATCAACGCTTCTGCTTCTCCCCATCGACCCAGACATCCACCTTCTCGTCGTAAAAGGCTACATAACCTCGAATCGTTGCGCACTCAGGAGTCGGATTACGGTACCACCACACGATATCGTCCTGTCGTTTGGACCCGGGGACATTGACGTGGTAATACTTTGCCTCACCCTTTTTTGACAACATATTCTCTTAGTTATGTACATGAGGACCTTCAATGATTATGGTATCGACGAACCTTGTATGGGCAATGGGTGATGAGGGATGAGGGCTCCAACAGATCCATGCGGCAGTCGTTCTTCGGAATGTAAGTACGCACACGCAGGCTCGTCTCGTGGAGGAAGCGCGCCATGCGCGTGTTGGCCACTTCCGTGCCGTTCACCTCGACACGGACGTGTCTGGACGATTGAAGAACATCCACCCTCTGCCGAAATTTTCAATCGACTCAGTCAACAGCAGGGGACATGCAGCTTACCTTGTATGGATCCTTGCAGTGCACGAAGATTTCATCCTCCTCCTCAAACCAGGCATCCATGGATCCGAAGTCGATCGTGAACAGCCCAGCTAGCTCCTTCGCTTTTGATGAATAGCTCGTCACAGCGGTGCGTGCACGACGATCGTCAACCACAACGTCATAGACCTCCTTATCGGCATAGGATTTCTCGTGCTCGAGGTATTTTTTGGGTAGCTCTTCTTGCGGGAAAAAGTATGCTGGGTAGTAGGGCTTCTCCCAGCTTTTCAACAGGTGAGTCATCAGAATCCAAACCGGCAGGGAGAAGACTGATGAACGTACACAAGCTTTGCCTGTTTAGAGTCGATGAGATATTTGCCTCCGAAGACTACTCGAACTCGCTTCACGGAATTTTCGATGTATGGGAGTGAGAAGGACATTGTGGGTAGAGGAATCGCGATTCAGTGAATGCGGCGCCCGGCCTTTTATACCGACATAGGTGAGACTGAGATGTCTGAATGCATGATTCGGTTTCCTCAGCTCAAAGCTCGCAGAGACATTGAACACCAGCATGACGCATCACGTTCGATCGCGCTTCGATTCCTGTCAGCGTCTATGGCGTGAATGTCTTTCAGCGTCGTACCAACGCTCTGGAAATCCGCCGCCAACTTTTACCAACAGGGCTCTGTCTTCGTCATTGCTATGCATTTAGAATTTTACTTGACAGGAACGACTGTCGACATGCCGGCAACGTCAAAATGTTATCACAAGAAGTGACTGGCGATCCCTGGATGTGTTTTTCCGGCCACTAGCGCATTCCTTCACGTACCCCCTGGCAAATCCACATAAGTAGAAAGTGGTGTGGTCGATCATGTCCTACACAGGTCCGAACTCAAGGAAAATTTACAGACAATTGTCCTCATCGAACTCCGGCCTGTCACGCCAACACTTAATCAATGCGGTGTTGGGATCGATCTTCCCACCAAGCGAGGTCATCCGATTGTGCATCATTTCTGAGGTGTGTCGATGCTATTTCTGTTGGTATTGCCATGCGCGTACATATCCTTGAAGATACAGGAAGATCTTTTCGAATCCGCCCACGGCGCGACGAGACGGTGTCAGCTTCGTGACCTGGTCATCTCTCACTCTTCCATGATTTTATTTGACCCCCAGGATGGTCAAAATGTTTGACATGCATGATATGATGACTTCATTTCCTATTTAGATGCCCTCGCCACCTTTGCATCACATGGCCCCAAACGAGCCCGCCGAACGCCAACCGAAGTTTTTTTCGCCTGAGATCACTTTGGGTGTATTCTTTAGATGCCCTTGGACAGCTCTCATCAGGGCTGGGAAATATAAGAAGACCTAATCTACCGCGAACGAAGGCTGCAGCTGTCCTTCCAGGCCCCCTCCCGTATTCTCGCCCTAGATTCTCCCTCCGCGATGGAAGCTCAAAACAGCCGGGCGGCTCTGTGCTCCTTGTCTGACTGGTCTGCGCGACATATTCGAGATGTCTTCGAGGCCCCTACCGACGCATTGTCCTTGCGCGCCATATCCGCGACCTTCGCCGACAATGTGCATGCAAGCATTAATGGCGCACCACTGAGTCGAGAGGGTATCAATCAGCTGGTGCTTGCCATGCGCAAGAGTTCCCCTTCAGGCCTCACGGTTCACTGGCAGCAAGCCGTAGAGGCTCCCTCGGACCCTGCCACAAATCGTGTAAGTCTCTTTTGTGCGAATAAAGAGTCCTTGATATGGTACTGACTTCGCGCTGTCAAGGGCGGATCCTTTGGTGGTGCATACATCATCCGCGGTATCCGAAAGACTTTGCCAGAATCTCAAAAGACAGTCGAGTTTGAGCGGCACAAAACCGTAACGGTTCGGTGAGTAACAATATACAGACGTGTCAGCTTGTTAAATGTCTCCCCAGGATTGAGTCGCAGTCACCGTCGCTCACGCACGATAGCCGTAGAATCGTCACCCTCGCTTTCGTTGCATCCGATAAACGGGTAGATCGACAGGCGTCACTATAAATTGCTGCTGAGACGATCCATGGCCTTGCAATTGGAATTCTCGAGGGCGCGCGCCGAATGTGTGGTACGTAAATACCAGTGGTAGCGTGAAGAAATCATTAGGAGGGAAGAAGCCCAATGTAGTGGGCATTGGCTATTTTCCGAGCGCGTAACAGTCACGAGGAAGTAATAGTACGGACCTCTGATGTGTCAGAAGTCTTCCAAGAGTATGCAAGGAGGTAAGTATCTCTTGTCACCGTGACTCGCGTGAGCCTCTTCCGATCTATCTTCTCTTAGCAGGCAAGAGGAAGCTGGAACAACGCACCACGCTCCTGAACGGGGCAAAGTCTTCTCACTGCAGCGCCAGGTATTGCCTAATGTCATGTCAGGTAGTTTCCTGACAGATTATGTACGTAGTACCCTGCCTTGGACGAATGGAAATCTGAGATCTGATCATAGCAGCAGGTTCGGCTGCGAGTGTACTATACGGGGAGCATTGAGCTCTGACTCAACCTGAACCTCAGCGGCTTCGTTTGTTTCCCACTCCTTTTTGAAATTGTTTCTCTCTCTCTCTCCAGCTCAATCATGGCGACCCTCACTGAGCTTTCCAACGAAGTCATCGATAGCATCATCGACGAGCTCTCGGAATCGGACTCGTCTTCTCTCCACACCGTTTCGATGACTCATTACAGATTTACGCCACGATGTCAAAATCATCTGATTCAACCGTGCACTTCTGATACTGCCAGGATATCAAGAGGATGACACAGACACCAGCCTTTCAGTCCGGAATATTCAACACTTGGTGCACCTCCTTCGACCTGATCTTCCGCGCCACATCTACCACCTTACCATCGAAAATTATTATGGGCCCGACCCGACCATAGACAGGAAACTTCAACTGCTCTTTACTCGACTCGCCAAACTACGCTCATTCACCCTTTCTGTTGGTCCTGGACCTTTTAGTCAACTCGCCAAACTATGCTCATTTGGCACCAAAGTTCCTAGTACTGCACCTCCTGTCTGTGGCAAATTCCAGGCGTTCTTCCAAACTCTCCGAAGCCTTTACAAAAAATCTAGTCGCCATGTTTGCATTAACGCAGGTCACGGAGGTCAACCTACACTATGTCAAGGACTTCTCTGCCGCGTTTGTTGGATACCATTGCCCCAGTATCCAGAGTGTCAACTTCGGCGGCTGCCACACCCCGTCACAAGGCTTTCGTTACGGTACCAGACGACGAGCATGGTTACGATGCAAACGATGCCTTCGACGTTGCTCAGGCTCTCGACAACTTGATTGTGCTCCCGAAATCTGCTACAAAAAAACGGAGGGAATTCTGTAAGATCAAGCCGCGGGTTTGCGTTAGCAGTTGCGCCATGAGCCACCGCCAACTGTGCGCACCGGGATCCAAGTACTCGGAAAGTGCAACCGTCAACGAAATTAACTGGCCCCCACCAGTGAGCGTGCTGGGTACGTGCCAGACGATGGGATCGTCAAGAACCAGATCGCAATCAGAGCACAGTGACCAACTCGACTCAGGCCGACTCGGAGGAGAGTGCAAAGTAGCAGGTTGAGGCACGCCATTCGCGTAAGGGTACTCGAAAAAGCCAAAACCGCACACGAGCTCAGTGCTCAGCGCACAGGTGGAGTGACGAGTTATAGTAAGGCATAGACCAGGGACCTGCAGGACATCGACGGTCGGTGTCAATGGGCATTGTGCAAAATTACAGAAAGTTACATAGCTATGGCACATGTTGTGCCACCACAGGCTGAGGAAGAAAAAAACATAGGTGCATTAAGAGATAATCGAACTTTGGGCAGGTCCCAACAGGTTATGGGCCATGGCAACCCCCCCATTAATGCTTGTTCTCAGCACGAGGAAACGCGTTCACAGTCTGTCTGTCTGCAGAAGGAAGAGTACAAAACAATTGTCAAGTCCCCTGATCTTGTCGGGGGCACCAACGTTCACAGTCTGTCTGTCTGCAGAAGGAAGAGTACAAAACAATTGTCAAGTCCCCTGATCTTGTCGGGGGCACCAAAAGATCTGCCAGTTCATCGTGGAATACTGGGCTATGCGGCGTATGTAAAGGATTCAAGTCTGCATCAAGAGGGAATCGAACCCCCGGCGGGTCGATTATACGTTACATATTGGCAACGACCCAGGTTACCACTACCCCATTGATGCTTGGGAATTTTAAGGAAAAAGTCCACATAAGACGTAGGAAAGGCACAGAACGTTCGTTCAATTATTCTGACCTCAAGACCACGCAGATTTAGAGCAGCCACGCTAACAGTTACAGTGAAAGGTGTAGGCACGATTCGCCTTGTAGAACGCGTTCTGGAAGCCTCCGATCGTATTCAATTGTGTGAATTACCCCTCAGCACCGCACAGGAGAACCAGGAGAGTTCGAACTTCTCCAGCCAGCGGAGAGCCTATAGATAGACTAAGACTTGTAGATAGGAGCCGACGTCCAGCCTTAGAAGCATACGTGGAGCTCTCAGCTGACAGTAGCCACAAGCGAACACCGACGAACGTGCGTGCGTGGACCCACGAAAAGTTTGGCCCAGGCGAACGTTGCTTGGTTGCAGGAACAGGCCTGGTTTGCACGGGGGACGGTATACAGAGTCAAGGTTCAAAGAAGGCGACGACAGGATGCGTCAATAGTAGTACCATACAATACTGCGACAACACTGTAACGAGTCAGAGATATGGACATGGCAATTGTTTTTCTGTGAGAAGTCCGAACGGTCCAATTCAATTTGCTCAGCCCTGGGTGAAGAAAGACAGCACTGAAGAGGAGTTTTGGCCGCCGAAAGAGAAGAGGCCGGCGCCAGGGATGGGGATTTTCTTCTTTTTCCTGTGGCGAGCGAAATTAGATGGTAGTAGTTAAAGGGCTTGAGGTTACTTACAACTCGCGGACTGAACAGAGGTGCGATGAGTCTATAGTTGGGGAGCAAAAGAAGTGCGGACGAACCTCGGATGGCAAAGTTGAGCAGGATAGCGATGAATAGGACGACGCCGAGGACGACTGGGCCGGCAATAGAGTCTGTACAGGAGTGTGTGTCAAGGTGGAGAAGGTGGAACATAGCAGGGCGAATGCGCACCGAAATGGCCGGGGTCACGGCGGCGTATCATGGAGATGCGGTATTGGTAGAGCGCGAAAGCGTAGATCTAATTCTGTGAGTTACGGGCAGTAAAAGCAACCGGGCGACGTACGAGAACGCCTATGCTAATGAGAGCGTACGCATACGCAAAATTGGTCGCAACTTGGTCTTTGGAGGCATTGAAGAGTGCGATGGAGAGGGTTCCGATGAGGATGGAGATGTTCAGCCACGACACCCAGGCTGTAACGTGGTCAGAAAGGAAACATGTGTAGGAGATGGAACGGCACGGACTTCGCTCATTGGCAAACCAGACCTTTGCCTCGACCTTGACGGGGGTTGCAATCTTCTTTGGAACACGGACCTGGGGCGGCAGAGCATTGATAGCATGGTAGTCGCGGACAGTGGGGCGCTGGCCGTCGTCGTCGCTGGAGGCGTCGGGGATGGCGTCGGCGCGGTGGTAGCGGGCAGGGCGGGGGATGCGGGGGAGAGAGGCGATGGCAGCGGCGGAAAAGGGCGAGAGGACGTCTGTGACTGCGTGCCAGGAGCGGGTGATGAGGGACGCGCGGGGGTCGGCGCTGTGGTGCTCGGCGTCGGCGGAGTGCGAGCGCGACGTCGACGTGGAGTCCATCTTGCCGTGGGATTTGCCGCAGAGCATCCGCGTCCGTTCTAGAAGCATCGATGACATCACGGAAGGTGCCAGCAACATAACATGGCAAATAATAAAACTCGCACCGAAACATCACTCTCTCCCGTACAATGGGCGCAGACTACTACAAGCTACTTGGCGTCAACAAGTCCGCATCTGACGATGAAATCAAACGGGCCTACAAGAAAATGGCAAGTAGTGTCTTTCTCTCCTCTCCTATCAGCTACTCACACTCTTGTGCAGGCCTTGAAATGGCATCCAGATCGTAACAACGGTTCTGAGGAGGCCTCTACTAAATTCAAACAAATCTCCGAGGCATTCGAAGTCCTTTCAGACTCCAACAAGCGCGCCGTCTACGACCAGTTCGGCGAGGAGGGCCTCAAGGGCGGAGGCCCCGCCCCAGGCCAGCAGGGCAGCGCCGGAGGCTTCCCCGGAGGCTTCAGCGGCTTCCCTGGCGGTGGAGGAAACACGTTCACCTTTACCAGCGGTCCTGGCGGCGGCTTCGGCGGCCCATCGGGCGGAAGCGCAGGGTTCGCACCAACAGACCCACAGAAGATATTCGAGTAAGTCGTCGTTTTCTTTGTCGTGGCTCAAACCATACTCACAGAATATCCCTCACTAGGCAAATGTTTGCCGGTGGCCTCGGCGGACTCTTCGGCAATATGGGCGCCGGCGGGATGGGTGGAGGCACCCCGCGTGGATCCCCATTCGACGTGGACGACGACATGAGCGGCGGCTACGGTTTCTCCTCGGGCATGCCAGGCGGTATGCCCGGCTCCCACCACCGTCCCTCATCACACCGCACACGCCCATCCCCCCGGCAGCCCTCACCCCCCGCACCGCAAGAGATCACACGACCCCTAAAAGTGTCCCTCCAGGATCTCTACAACGGCGCCGTCAAGCGCATCAAAGTCGGGCGCCGCTTGCTCAACGGCACGACGGAAGAAAAGGTGCTCGAGATCAACATCCACCCCGGCTGGAAGTCCGGCACCAAAATCCGCTTCCCGCGCGCAGGGAACGAGTCCGCGCGCGGCGAGGCGCAGGATCTTGTGTTCGTGGTGGAGGAGAAGCCACACGAGGTGTTCACGAGGGAAGGGAACGATCTTATCGCCAGAGTGCCCCTTCCACTGGTCGAAGCGCTCGCGGGGCCCCCAGATGGGGGCATACGGAATCATAAGACGGTGGAAATGCTTGATGGGAGGAAGTTGCAGGTGCCGGTGCCGCTGGGGGTGGTGAAGCCCGGGCAGGAAACGACGGTGCCTGGGGAGGGGATGCCCATACGGAAGGATGGGGCAGCGGTGAAAAAGGGGGATATGGTCGTGAAGTGGGATGTAGTCTTCCCAGCGAGGCTAACTCCGTCGCAGCAGGAGGGGATAAGAAAGGTGTTGGGATGAGAGAGAAGACGGACTGATTTCAGCTAATCATTATTGATACACCCAGCATGCAATTGTATTGTTGTACTTATAATAATATTGTACGCCTATTCAAAAATCACACTAATTGTCGTTGTGAGATGCAATGGATGGAACGATATCTTCGCTACTACGCCACAGCCATAAAATGAATTGTATGTGCTACGCCTATGCGCTTAAAACGTTCTATACGCAGCGTCTACCGGAAACATTTCTTCTACTTGGCAAAGAATTTCTCATTCGTGCATGCCAGGCTCGCCTGGTAGAGCCCCGAACTTGTAGTATCGTACGGTCTACCAACGCGAACATAGCTACTCGCGGGCAGTATTGTAGAAAAAAGGGACATTCCCGTTCAACTTGAACATCCCGTCTCATTGAACATCCCGTCTCTGGAGCCAGCCTGCAGGACGTCCAGCAACCTCATGGCCACCGGCTGTTATCGATGCCGTATTTCCTTGTCGCTGGCGATGTCAATTGATAGCTTTCGCATGTGCGCATGGCCCATGCTATACAATAGGAAGCAATTGTAATCCAAGTGAATGTGTTTATCTACTAGAATCAACATCACGACAAGGGTTTGCGATCTGCCTCATCGACAAAGGCCTCGAGCGTGCGCACGACTAGATCGACGTTCTCGAGAAACGCGTTCGTCGTCAACCGCGCGAGCCTGATTGTGAGCGTGCTGAACGTCCTACATACACCAAACGACAGAAACACGTCGGTTATTCAGCCCAAATCTCAGACACAGAAGCACGTACGCAACCAGAAGGTTATCCTTGACCTCGAGTGTCCGCTTCACAGCCTGCGGCTGGAGCTCAGCGTCGACTTCGATCGTCTGCTTCGCGTAGGTCGCATGCTGGTGCGACGAGAATGGTATCTCGAGAGTGCTTTCCGGAGCGGTATCGTTATCTGATCAGGCCGCGGCCATGGTAGGGAACGGGACGGTGCGCCTCACATGTTATGCCAGCCGGACGGAGCGGACATGGGCGTTTGGAGCAAAGGCAAGCTTTGATCACCAAACCGATTTAGGGTCGACTACGACTGCAATTCGAACGAAGCGAAAGTGCATGCAGACAAACCGGGTATATGTTGAACAATAACGATATATGTAAAAACAGACGTATTTTTGAATCAGAACAGTCGTAGGTCGCTGTTGACAGATACCACCCAGCTCGACTTTGCGTTTCTACGTCAAGCATCCACCAAAAAGCCGAGTAACAAAAGTAGTGATCAAAAACCCGTCATCCAGCAGCGACTTTCCTTCCATACATACTACAACACGGCGGAGTTCGCAGAAACCGCACCAGAAGCCTCGAACAGATCGATCAAGAAAAAAAAACAGCACCGGAAAGGGGGTGCTCGCACTATGCACAGAAAATCATCCATTCACAAAATCGTGCGTGGCGTAGGGTATCATTAGAGGGAAATAGCAAGGACGGCGGCGAGCGCGCCGAGGACCATGACGGGTGTGCTGGCAGAGCGGGAGAGCGCGCCGTTGCCGAGGCCGAAGGGGTTCTTACCAGCAGCACCAACCGCGGAAGGTGCGGGGGTGTTGGCATCATCGGTCGATTCGGGGCCAACGACCTGGGTTAGAGTGGGGGTGACAACCACACTGGAACAAGTGGCGCAATGGTTAGTTTCTTTGTTGAACTCTCAAAAAGTATGAAGAGACGCACGTGGAGCCAGAGCCACCGCCCACTACAGGAATGCTGTTGGTGGGGAGGAGGTTGTTGGACTTGACAGCCTCGCTAGCGCTGGCGGACTGGCTGGCTGAGCCTGAGCCTGAGGGCTGCACGAGCTCGGGGGAGAGGCAAGAGGAATCATCGCTCTTCTGGACAGTGATCTGTTGTGATGGGCGGTTGTGAGCAGGTCTGATGGACATGAGTTTATGATGAGGAGGCGACTCACGGTTCCACTCCATGCCTCGTCGCCATCAGCGTCCTCCACGGAGAGCTGGATTTTAGATCCAGCAGGGAGGGTAGCCTTCCAGGTGGTGGAGGTGGTGGTGAAGTCGCCGAGATC